TATATATATATAGCTAGAGTTCCAAATTTAAAAAAAAAAAAATAGAAATGAGTCTCAAGTAAAATAATTTGAAACATACCAACAAAAGAAAAATATTTTATCTTTCCAATTTACCCCATCTACCCTACCACCACCCCTACCCTCGACTACCACCAAAATAATTAGAAAGAGAATTAAAAGTATCAAAAAAGTAAGAAAAAATTTAAAAATAGTTCTTCTTTCCTATTCAATTTCATACCCTGCCACCGACCACCACCACCACCACCACCAACAACAACAACAACAACAACAACAACAACAATAACCATTCTCCCTATCACATTGTGGCATTATCTAGTAATCAAGTTTAATTTCGTTTTGTTTTCAACAATTCAAGAACGCTTTTAAAAATTTAGCTATTTTCAGGAATTTTTTGTTTCTATTTTCGGGTTGCTGATTACGTGCGCGCCCGTGCTCCCAAGCACATACACACATTGCATTAACTTTTAAAATTTGATTTGATTTTTATTCAAATTTCTTTTGACTTACGAAATGATGTCTGACAATAGGATTTCTTTTTTTTCTTTTTTATTTTTTTATTAAAGGTTCAATCAATATCTTAATCCACACCACAATCCTAACTGTTCTAATTCAAATCTAGCTAAGTGGAAAATAATTTTTTTTTTTTTGGGAAAATAAATTTTTTTATTTATATATTTTAAATTGTTTGAAGTGGAACTCGTTCTCAGTGTATGAAAATTTTAGAACTTTGACTGCAATTTTATTATTATTTATTTCTTTTCTATTTATTTGTAAAGAGAAGGATGAGTTAGTTATATTACAATACTTTAATGAAGAAAATAGACGATAATGACCTTTTGCCGCAATGAAAACAAATGATACAGACAACTTGAACGATTTACCAATATTGATGGAAGGAATTGATAGAATGTAATGAAAATGGCCAACTCTACAAGAAAATGTTCAAATAAGGGTGTAAACATCAAATTTGAAACGACGGGAACATTTGCACAATAAGTACAATTAATAGTGCCATTTTGTGCTAATTACCCTTAAATTTTGGTAAGAATATTCTAAAGTTTGATAATCCATAGTATTTGGGATGACACGATAGATTCCATTTTGAATAATATTAAAAAAAATATATATATAGTGTGGAGGTTATATAATGGAATCAGGATTCGAACATAGATAAAGTTTTGACCACCCATTAGAGAAACAAGAATAGAAAGAAGGAATTCTTTTATAATCATATTCTTCTCAAGTTTCATAAATAGTCGAAACATTTAAAAGTATTTGAAAATAAAATTCAGGAATCGGTCTAATTATATCTCCTTCGGATTAAGTGCCAAACCTGTCCACTCTTCAAGACAGCTCCCTACAGATGGAAATAGAGTAGGGGAATATCGATACTATCCGAACTCTTTCCCAACGAGGGGACTAGGAGGAAAATGGTCGTTTCGCGAGTTAATGAATCCTTGATGTACTAGTTCCTCTTACTATAGAGGAACGACTGCTTTATGCCCAATACTCATAGAGAATTGTAACAGTTGATTTTTATCAATCCATTACTCGATACTCAAGTGCTAAAGACATGGAGGGAGATAGTTATGCCCTTCCATCTCTAGTCTTTTCTATACAAAATTTGGTAAGTATGAATGTAGCAATAATCTTCCCCTACGGCGGCTTACCTAACATATAATTTACTCTATATAACCACCCTATAATCTAACTATGCCATTAATTAAACGTTGGCAAATTTGACTGACTCTAATGAGAAAATCACCTAACCACTGATTAGCTGGTTAACGTTGATGGAAGAGAGTACTATAGTCTATACATCGCTGATTCCATAATTAATTATGTGCGGCTCTATTTATGAACTGAAACTTTTAAATCAAGTCTTATTATTATCCATTTAAATACATTGTGTATGTATTAAGATTTGTAAGAAAAGTGTAAATGTAAGATTTTTAAATTTGTAAAAACCTTTCTCCTTTATCATGGCTTGGAACCAGCAACATTAAGTAGACAGAGTTTAAACTGTATAAATATTTCGTGTAAATAAATTATATAAAACATAATACAAAAGTGAATAAAAATTGAAATATAATTAGAATTCCATCTTCACAATCTACAATTTCAAATCTGAGGTTCCGCGACACCTTCATCTTCTTGAAACAATTAAGGATACAAACATGTATTTCTATTCGAATTGTAATATAGCTTAGACCACATTATGCATGTCAATTTTGAAAGGATTTTTAATCAATAAATGGGCTTATATGTGAATAATTGTGTGTTAAATTAAAGGCTATCAAATTCGGTTAAGCCTAAGTAAAGTGATCTAATAAAACTTCGATTTTGGATTTTAATGTATTCAATTAAAATGTGGGTTTACATATGTGTAGAGACTGGACCCAAGTCATAATTCTATGATGGGCTGAATTAGGTCAAAAGGCATCGCTATATAAATAGGTTATGGTCTCCAGATCACACGTACATATTATTCATTTTCTACTATATCCCATCACAGAGAGAAAAAGGAGACAGCGTGTAGATTTGGAAGAGTGTACCGCAAAATTCATTATTGCATTAACCATGTCTGATTCAGGTACGCTTTCGCTTTAATTTTTGTATTTCTTAATGATTTAACATGAAAGATCCAGTGATTTAAAGTATTAAATTATCCTACAAGTGGTATCAGAGTCTTTTCTTGTTGAATCATTGAGAATCAAATGTTTTAATTTGGTTCTTGCAATATTCTTTTGAAATTTTCAGATTTAACAATTTTAGATCTATATTTTGTTGAATTTGAAAACTATTCGGTATATTATTTCATTATCTTTTATAATGTGTATTAAAGATAATTGAGGTTTGAGAAATTTCGGATTATGAATTTTATGGATTTTGAAATCAGATTCAGATTTCAAAAAAAAAAAAAAAAATCGACAGCGGGCAATGGCATCGCTGCTGGCTGTGCAGTGCGCCGCTGCTGTAAAAGGGAAGGGACGCCGGCCACCCGTTTTGTTAGGCGGGCGTCGCCCAATGGAAAGAGAAGAGAAAACTTTTTTTAGGGTTTTCTGTTTTTGAGTTGATTTTTGGGGGCAGGGGCTTCCTCTGTAAATTAGGAAATTTGAGGCCCCTGTTTGCAATTAGGGTTAGAGTTATAAAATTAAGGTTTCAGTCCCTAACCTTTAAGTTATATTAAGATTTGTGCATTTAAGTTTTGGATTTAATAATTCAGTCCCTAAGGTTTAAAATTAATTAATTAGGGCCATTAAAGTCCTGAATTTTATAATTAAAGTCCTCAAACTTTAATTATTAATTCAAATTGGTCCCCCAAAGTTTATAATTATTTCAAATTAACCCCTAAAGTTTCAAATTTTCAAAATTTGATCCCTAAAGTTTTGAATTGGCCAATTTTGGCCCCTAAAGTTTTAAAATTTGTTCTAATTGATCCTCTAAAGTATTGAATTAATTAATTATGGTCCCTAAAGTTTCAAGTTTATTGATTTCAACCCCTAAAATTTGGAATTAATTAATTTTGCACCCTTAAAGTTTGAATTATTAATCCTAAGGCCCCTAAAGCTTAAAACTAATCAAAATGTGCAAAATTGGTGATTTTCCTTTTCAAATTTTGGTATTAAGGACTCTTTTAAGAGATATAATATTCGAAAATTGGTTAATTGAAACAACATGTTGTCAAAGCAACCTCTCTTGTGAAAATTGACTAACTTATATGTTGAAGTTCGTCCAATTATCATTAACAATGATCAGGTTTCTATCCCTTATATTGTTCAAGAAGCAACTCTGGATCAAGACAATGTCATACCTCCCTCTCAAGATCAACAAATGTTCCAGAAGAACAAACTTTACAGCCTCAAGAACCATTATTATTATTTGCATATTAAAGATATTCATGTGAGCTATTCATAATAAACGTTATCTAATTCAGTTTCAGGTTCTGCTGTTAATATCTCTGCTAGCATCAATTCAATTCCAATGCTTAATGACACAAATTTCAGGGCATGGGAAGAGAACGTGATGATTGTTCTCGGAGTTATGGACCTGGACCTTGCTTTACGGGTCGATCAACCTGCTGCATTTACTCATAAGAGTACCTCTGATGACAAGAGGGGGATGAAAAAGTGGGAACGATTGAACTGTATAAGCTTAATGGTTATGAAGCGTGCTATTCTAGAAGCGTTCCGGGGCACTATGTCCGATAAGGTGACTATGGGTAAGGGTTTCCTTGAGGATCTTGAGAAAATGTTTGCTAAGAATGAAAAGGCTGAAACAAGTACACTTTTGACGAACCTTGTCTCAATGAGGTATAAAGGGAAAAGAAACATTTGGGAGTACATTATGGAAATGTCTCACATTGCTTCAAAACTAAAGGCACTCAAGTTAGATTTATCTGAAGACTTGTTAGTGCACTTGGTTCTAATATCTCTTCCGGCACATTTCAGTCAATTCAAGGTGAGCTACAACTGTCAAAAGGACTCATGGTCCCTTAATGAGCTCATCTCACACTGTGTCCTGGAAGAGGAAAGACTGAAGCATGAGAAAACAAAAAGTGCTCATTTGACCACCACCTCTAAGGACAAAAAGAACAAAAAAAGGAAGATTAATAAGGAAGCTGCAGGTACGACACTGCAAA